TTTAGAGCAGAATTGCGTATATAGTTGATCAGCGTCATAAGTAATTTGATGCTTATTTACGTCGTGTATTGCCTTCTATACCAATATAATGGATGTTCCCGTTAAAAAAAACGTTATCTTATCATGTTCGACCTTTTTGTAAGTCCTACTTTTGACGGTAACAGCTTTATTTTTTCAAGATTCAAATTCAAATTCTTCACAGTCTATAGCTGGTCTGATTTGAAGATGGTTCTAAATGTTCTCTCTGAGAAAGCAAGAGGAAAAGTGAACATATTCCAGTAGGTGTACAAAAAAAAGTTATTCCTTAAATTAATGATTGCAACATTGAGTATTTTGCAAATATTTCTTCTTGCATAGATCATAAAATTGTAGATTTTCTTTTCAAACGATGTGCCGTGAAATTCTCTACAAGAGGAGTAATAAAAAGTTCTCTTAAACTATTTTGATGAATTTTCTTTACAAGACTTACAGTGACCGTTGTCTAATGGTGAAGTGTTATACTATTCTGAGAGAAACAACAATGCAAATGATCACAAAAAGTTTCGAATGGTATGATGATACTCTCCTTGAAATAGCATTAATACGAGCACTGATCAGAAGATGATTAAAAGATAAAAAGATTTGAAGATATTAATAAGAAGAGCATGTCAAAAAGAACTGACCTGAATTACGTTCGCAAAGTGATCGGCTCTTTTTTTCAAAGAGTTTGCGGAGCGTAAGAGTATCAAGACGATCATATTTCCCACAGGATGTGGGTGTGGGGGTGGGGGTGGTGGTGTGGGTCGGTGTGGGTGTCTGATTAAATACACTCTGATCCACACGCACACACCCACACCCACAACAATTGTTTTCTCGTCACATCGATCAATCAACATCAACTTGTCCTACAGAGAATTGAAGACAAAATGATCAAGTCAATCGCATCAAGCAAACAAAATTAACATTTTTATCGAGGGGTTTCTCACAAGTGATTGTCACAATGAATGAAAATAATTCTTGTCTATTACAATGGACAAAACTTTGCTAAAGAGAAGAATATAGGCAACGCAATTTATTTCACACAACGAAAACCTGACAAGTTGATCATACATGAATAAAGTTAATTGACAATCCTATAAGAATTCTTCTGTTTGGACTCAATCAGTGACAAGCGCCATATTATCGGTATCTTTGTTTCGAAATAGTTTCTTGATTATTCAATATAGATGATCAAGCCTTTATTGCTGGCTTGCTATCATAGTTAGAGAACAGGCTATTGTCCTTTTCATAAATTATTTGTGTATAGACGAAAAAAAGTGTTAAATGTGTCACGGGTTTAAGAATAAATTTCAGACAAACAATATTCATCATTAATGGTAATTTAGATAAATTTTAATTCCACAGGAATTGTGCTAACAATTTTTGTTTTGCTATTCAACTATGTTGCTTACAACGAATTTTCACGAATCTATGATCGATTAGATTGGAATCAATTCGACAAATAATTCATGTCGAATGATTTATTTGTGTGATTTTTGTTCTGTTTTCCGATCTGAATTACACTTATATGCAAACATGTTGTGTTGTGTAATTATAATCAAACATACTATAAAACAACTGTTATTGCGCAAAACCTTTGTAGTATTGCGAAAAAAAAAATTATTATTATATGCCTCAGCCAAGAATCGAACTTGGATGACACGATCTTCAGTCGTGCGTCTTCACCATTGGACTACTGAGGCTTATGCTTTTGAGATTCATTTACATGTTCAATTATGGATATAAACAGTAGCATATTAAAAATCAATAGAGATATCACATACCTCACAACACTAACACAAAATAGAACAAGTTGAGTAACATTCTTTGATAGATGTCAGTCATTTCTATCGCTCGAAGTTTTCATTCTGCTCATTCACCATTTTCTTTCTATTCCTCTTGGTTCAATATATATAGTCATAAGATAGACTGATAGTTGTCCCACTTCGGTGGGACATATAATAAAATTGGAACGATACAGAGAAGATTAGCATGGCCCCTGCGCAAGGATGACACGCAAAATCGTGAAGCGTTCCATATTTTTATTTTTCCAGGTTTCACTTAACAACCTAATTTAACATCAGAAAGTAGATGATCCAAATTATAATGTCAATATAACGATAACCGATGCTCATTTGCTGGGAATCACCATCAAGTAGATGAACCAAAAGTAGTTTTTTTGTTGATAGATTCAGTTAAATCAAATCCACGTATGGATTATTCACTAACAACAAAAGTCAATATTGATGATTTTTTGGGGTGGGTGTGGTGTGGGTCTGGGTGTGGGTGGGTGGGTGTGGGTCTGGGTGTGGGTGGGCGGGTGTGGGTGTGGATGGGTGCGGGTGCGGGTGTGGGGTGTGGGTGTGTGGGTGTGGGTGTGTATGAAGCTGTTATTTGTTCGCTCAATTCCACACCCACACCCACACCCACCCACACCCACATCCACACCCTCACACCCACACCCACCCCCACACCCACCCACACCCACACCCACACACCCACACCCTGCAAGACAAAGTAATTGGCCGATAATCGACCAATTATGTCAGCGCTCATAAGTCATTTTGAAGAGTGTCTAGGGAAACTATTTCTCCTTGGATTTTAGATTTCAATATGATCATTTGATGGGAAAAATTGTTCACTTTCGATCTACACAAGATTGAGCTCGTTAGCTTGCTTGGTTCAAAAGCTATAAGCATTTGATTACATGTCTTCTGAGAGTATCCCCGGAAACTCGATTATGTCCTATGGGTAAGAGGTAGATAGATATATAGGTATAGGAGGTATAGGAGATATAGGAGATATAGTAGATATAGGAGGTATAGGAGGTATAGGAGATATAGGAGGTATAGGAGGTATAGGAGATATAGGAGGTATAAGAGGTATAGGAGATATAGGAGGTATAAGAGGTATAGGAGGTATAGGAGGTATAAGAGATATAGGAGGTATAAGAGGTATAGGAGGTATAGGAAACACAGTAAACATTTATTTTTTTTTATAATTGATTTTTTCGAGCAAGGATGGATAAGTTGAATGAGATATAGATGGTATAGGAGACACAGTAAACAGTTATTTATTTTTTATGATTGATGTTCTCGACCAAGGATCGATAAGTTGAATGAGATCTAGAAGGTGTAGGAGACATAGTAAACAGTTATTTATTTTTTATGATTGATTTTTTCGAGCAAGGATCGATAACTTGAATGAATATATCTGACTGAATCACTATTCAAAGTCAAGCACTGCATAAAGATTATCTGCACTACTTAATTAATATCTCCTATACCTCTATATCTCCTATACCTCTTATACCTCCTATATCTCTTATACCTCCTATACCTCCTGTACCTCCTATATCTCCTATACCTCCTATATCTCCTATATCTCCTATATCTCCTATACCTCTTATACCTCCTATACCTCTTATACCTCCTATATCTCTTATACCTCCTATACCTCTTATACCTCCTATACCTCCTATATCTCTTATACCTCCTATACCTCCTATACCTCTTATACCTCATATACCTCATATATCTCCTATACCTCCTATACCTCCTATACCTCTTATACCTCCTATATTTCCTATACCTCCTATATCTCTTATACCTCCTATACCTCTTATACCTCCTATACCTCCTATATCTCCTATACCTCCTATATCTCCTATACCTCTTATACCTCCTATACCTCCTATATCTCTTATACCTCCTATACCTCCTATACCTCCTATATCTCCTATACCTCCTATATCTCCTATACCTCCTATACCTCCTGTACCTATATATCTATCTACCTCTTATCCATAGGCAGAGCTGGGCAAAATACTCGAAGTACTCGTACTCGAGTACGATATGATGGTACTCGTACTCATACTCGTACTCGAAGGATCGGTACTCGTACTCGTACTCGAGAGTTAAGTACTCGAAATTCTAAATAATTATGCATTATATTAAAATGATGCTTGATAAAATTATAGTATCTTTTTCGAGGATGAAATACACAACTGATATCTTTTTTTTTATTCTTTATATACGTATCCGCTTTTCTATCGGAAAGAAGCAATGAAAATAATTTACTTTTTCTCAAGAAAAATCTTTATCCTTCTCTATATGAACTTAGTCTAAAATACTTGTCAGTACCGGCTACATCAGCTCCTATTGAAAGAATATTTTCTAAAAGTGGTTTTATTATGCGTCCACATCGCGCATCGTTAACCTCAAAAAATGTATGCTTGCTTACTTTTCTTAAATGCAATAGCGTTTTGTTGTAATTTGATTGTTTAAAACTTTATGATGAAAAAAATAAGAATAAACATATTTTGATTCATGACTTTAACAATGTTTCGATCTCAAAATTAATACATCATTATTAAAACTATCAATTAAATTTTTTCTAATGAGATCTTAGGAAACTCACTCTTATGTACTCGTACTCGTACTCGAGAGTTCGATACTCGTACTCGTACTCGTACTCGTACTCGAGGGTTCGGTACTCGTACTCGTACTCGTACTCTAGGGCCAGTACTCGTACTCGTACTCGAAAAAGTCCGTACTTGCCCAGCCCTGTCCATAGGACATAATCGAGTTTCCGGGGATACTCTCAGAAGACATCATATGAAGCATTTTCCTGAGATCCACGAAATCGGTCAGATAACCTTCAATTGGGTAACTGACTATACTGAGCTTAGTGGTGGAATTTGCTTTTAGTTTCAAAGCGATTTGACGTCAGTATATCAAAATTTCCGATAGTATCACTTTTCTCGATATATGCGTGAGAATACCGATAAATCAAAAATTTTGATATACTGAAGTCAAATTGCTTTGAAACTAAAAACAAACATCACCACTAAACTCACCATGATCAGTTATCCGATTGAAGGTTATCTGGCCGATTTTGAGGATCTCAGGAAAATGCTTATAGCTTTTGAACCAAGCAAGCTAACGAGCTCAATCTTGTGTAGATCGAAAGTGAACAATTTTTCCCATCGAATGATCATATTGAAATCTAAAGTCCAAGGAGAAATAGTTTCCCTAGACACTCTTCAAAATGACTTATGAGCGCTCATACGATTGGTCGATTATTGACCAATTACTTTGTCTTTCAAATGGTAAAAACCGCAAGTTTCTAGCTGCTTTTGTTCACGAGATATTTAAAAAATATCGAGATTCATTACGTTTTGACGTTGATAGTAATTGTTAATAAGGATGCTAGAGCTAGTGCATCTTTACTTAAGAAATTCGCAGAATGATTATGAATTAGATTGTTTGAAAAACTTTAGATATTCGAAAGCATTTTTATTGATTGCAGAAATTAGTCAGATTCTGTTTGTAATTTCAATAGCTATTTCAATCATTCATCAAATAGTTTGTATACAATTGCCAGTATTTTCTCTATAGAGTTTATTAAAACATGTATATTTTAAAAAAAAAGATTAAGATAAAAATTGGTTCACTACTAAATAAAAAAGAAATAAATTGAAGTTTAAAAAAAAATAGTTAAATGTTGAGAAAAGTAAGTACAGTAAAAAGAAGCATGACTGTAGCAAAAATCACTAGACAAAGACGATCGATGACCATTGCCACAAATTGCCAATCTTGAGACTGATCATCATCTTTGTCTTTTTGTCGAAAATAATTAACGAGAATAGCAAGTTGAGAAATAATAACGCGTAGCTCAGAACGAATCATATCCATATCACATGTATACAATTCTTTTGATGTATTTTGATTTTCTAAGAATTCTGAAGATTTCTTGTCGACATTAGTTGATAACAACTCGAATGTATTATTCAATGATGGTTCAGGAAAAATCTTCGAATGACGATTATCGATCGATTTATTTACATTATTCGATTCTTGTTTTGGAGAAGCCCATTGACGACGAATCCTACACCAACTCAAATCATGACCGGGACGCTTCATAAGTAATAACCATGCTAAATAATTACAAATATACTTACGAACCTGAAATGATTTCTGAAATCATTTGATTTATTTATTTTGAAATATAATTTACCCATACTGACATTGTATAATTTTTAGAGTTTCGAAAATGAACTGATAATATTAATATTGTTGTAACAACTGAAACTGCTGATATAATCATAACACACATGAAATAAGCAATAATAATCGGTATAGCATTTGAACTTGGTGGAAGAATATCTGCGAGAAGTAAACTGAACATAACAACAGTGAGAAGAGTTGTAATATCTGAAGATTTACAATGTATAAGAACAAATATTTTTTATCAACAAATTCTAACTCACGCAAGGTTAATTTTTCACCACTATCTGGTGATAATAAAAATCCAAATATTGTCATACAACTAATAATAAAACAAGGCACTATGAAACGAAAAAAAAAACAATAATATTAATGAAAAAAAAATTAGAAAAAAAAATGTTGTAATTTATATTTTATTACTAATGATATTTATAATGTAGTAAAGAGAACGTCGACGCATTCGAATAGTATATAATACGTATGGATATACATTTGAACAACAGTTGTATGGGATATCATTATTCGTTGCTGAGAAATCTAAAACAGAATAAATAGAATAAAATGCACGTAACTCTTATTGACTACCTTCTAGATCCCATTCGTCATTTATGACGTATGCATCTAATTGACCTTTGCTACTTTCTGCCGTCAGATTAACTCCTAAGTAATAAAAAAAAGCATATAACATGCAACAAATTTGGCATCTCATCTTAGAAAAAAAAACTATGATTCAACCATATACCAGTATCATCATATGTCCAAGATCCAAATTTCAGCGTACAATATTGTGTATCCAAAAAAAAAGACCAAAGTTACGATATGAGTGATATATTTTGTTTTTATACTTACAAATGGAAATGCAGCAATATTAAATGAACAAATTGATTTGAATAATACTGGTGGAACATATTGTATATCACCATTATGTTGCACAATGGCATTGACTTTCATTGTAATATCAAAATTTTCATCGGCACTTTAAAAAAAAACCAAAGCATCGTTTTTCGAAATATCTATTCTTTGAAAAATAATTACCTATTGTATAAGAGAATATCTGGTGTCCAAATTTGTTTACTTGGTATTCGTAGTGTTTGAATATTACCAAACTCTTCTGGTTTCCATCTTAAATTATAATCGTTCCACATCTATACAGACAAATATAAACAATAAGATTGAATGTTATAGATAGGAATGCAATGGTGAAGATAACCAGTTCTTACCAGTAATCGGTCTTTACTGAGACTAGCTGCATTAGTAACCGGTTTTAGGCTAATACTGATTTATACTGACCTATTGCGGCTTAGGGTATAGTTGTTTTTTCCAGATTTTGAGTTAGAGTTTTTTGCCCCGAAAAGGCTGTTTTTATCACGTTGGGTCAGAGGCAATTGGGGTGAAGAAATCCGAATCTATCATTGACTTCTCGAAGTTCGGTGTTTAATTTTTTTAATAGAAATACAATTTTTCATAAAAGAGATTTTGTGAAGAAAAATCAAGCTCAGAATTTCGAAAACTGATTGCAGATTCAAATTCCTCAATTCCGATCATCTTCTGTCAAACTTTATAAACAATTGCTTTCTTTCGGAAAAGATCCTTCCCTTTATAGAAAAAAATTCAATTCAAAATTTCAAAAAACCGATATAGACCAATTTATGTCACTAGAAACTCGTATTACCCTACTACCGATAAAAATCGGTTACTAGAGTCTACCGGATTCGACTCTGAAAATTTTTATTCAACGCATTCGAATCAAAAAGATTTTTTGATGAACATAATGATATTTTACGAATATTCTGAAATTTTGTTCGTTTTATTCAAAAAACCTTTATTTATAAAAACAAAATACGAGACTTTTTGGCTTTGAAAATGTGATTGACTTGTCATCATTTTTTATTACATCGGAAAGTTTCTTCTTTTTCATTTTCTTTTTAGAAAAAATTCGTACTATTTTATTATTTTTTTTATGTCGATGATTCAATAGAAAGCAAAGTATTATTGATATTAGAATAATTGTAAAATAAAGAAAATAATATAAAGTCTTTGTAATGTATATATTCATTCTTCTATCAAAAAGTATTTTATAGGAGTGAGTACCATTGTAATTTAATTATTATGGGATCGCTATCCGATTGCCTAAAGAATATGCTTAGGAATGCTATTTTACTGTCAATTTAGAATAGATATAAGTTATTAGTAATTAATACTTAAAAATCAATATAAATTATGAAAAATAAATTACCGATAATTTAATTTACGCATGAATTAACTTCAAACTAAATATGAATTTAGTCTCTTAGGTATGCTACTAATCTACCAGAAAAAAAATTAAAAGTATATCGTATCTTCGGAGCAACAATCAAAAATCGGAGTAGAAAAGTTTATTAAGAGGTTTAAGAGTATGGTTCTAGTTAGGATCCACAAAAAAATGAATCAATCAGGTTCGGGTCCAAAAATTTGGATCGATCGGATCCGTGTCCGGTTCCAGAAATTCTTGGACCCAATGGACTCTACCAGTCACATCGATGAAACAGTTATCAGTTTGAACCGGTGACTCATCGTCACTATTGCATCCCTAATAATCACTAAGTATACATACGATAGTCATCCAGCCACTAATGACAACAGCTTCGTGTCTTTCATCCTATTTATATTTCAAAGCTGAAAAAAAAAATATTTAATCTCGCTTACATAATCAATGATGTGTTGCAAAGCCAAATTTATAGTAACCGGTAATGTGTCAGAGTCATTTTGAACAGGTCGTACAATTCGGTTATATCGGTTATTAGCCAATAGATATTCTAACAAACGAAATTGATCAGGACCTCCAACTAATATCCATTATATTTTCATTTTTGAAGAAATTTACTAACTCACTTATGAAATTGAAATAGTAACATGTGATTAGAAGAAATATTTTTAATTGTCGTTGGATTGTATGAAACATTTTTTTTTGAAACTAAAAAGACAAGCTATATAGAATTTTTTCATAAGTACAGAAACATATAATGTCGACAAGAGCATAATACTAGAGTTCATCAGGTCTACAATTTTGCAATTCCGAACAATACTCCTAATACACTTATTCGAATCGTATTGTTGCTTTGAATATGTAAGATACTTTTTTCTCGATTATTTGTGTTCATTTTGTTAGCCTCCATTAAAGTGTCTTTCTTTTTATTTCTTCTTTACATTCGTTTTCTCCGCGAATGCCCCAAGGAAGAATACTAATTAAAACAAAAAAAGAATCAAAGGATGTAAACAGAACAAAAAAGATGCTGATAAGAACGGAATGTGTGAAGGCATATAAGATATATGTCTGTAACATAATTCCTCATCGACGGAAATTTGAGTCCACACACATCCGAAAAAATATGAAAATACGAAAGTGAAGAAATAAAATAAAACAAGAGATTGTTGATAGAAAGAGAAAAAAATGATTGAATAAAATTTAAAAAGAAAAAATGAATTACTTTATAAGCAGTTGTAAAGAAGATCAAGTAGAAATAGGTTGATCCATTACAGAAGGTGAAAGACAATAAGGAATAAATGATAATTGATTTAAACCATACTGATGAAAATTGTTCTCCATGATGTTAAGGCATTATAATACATCTGAAAGAGCGTTTACTTCGGAATGCTTCGATGTTAATTTGAGTGTTGGCATGGATGTAGGTATTTGTTAATATCGTGAATATATCATACTTGATGCTCCTACTATCCAACTACATTTTAATTGGAAACTAAGATGAGAACGAACGGTATAATTAAATATCAATTTTCATTATTTATTTTTATATTTTTGTCTTTCGTATTTTGAAGAAAGTTGTACAATATATTAGTATAAGTTTCTTTTTTACAGAATGGAAATTTATAACTATTTAACTTAAATTGCTGTTTTAAACTAAATTGATCTTTTGAATTTCAATAATAACCTAGCGGATATCTGGTTGGTAGTCACATACGTATAAGAAAATGAGATTTATTTTAGCTCTCATAATAGTGGAAGTAAATATTTTGTTTTTACACAAAGTGATAGCAAGAAAAATACAAACTAATGTATCGACTTCTTCGATATAACATCGGATGAAATCATCAATCTCAACTAGCATTTGATGAGCATTAAGCATGATATAACATTTTGGATTCTCATGTAAAGATGTTCGATAATTTCTATTACTTTAGAATGTTGAACAGATCGAAAATCATTCTCCTTAGAACTTCGAGTGCCTAGAAGAGATGTAATGAACGTAGGGTGTGAATGTGAGTGTGTGGATGATGAATAGAAGAACAACAACGCCCATACCCACACTCATTCACACCCTATTCTACAGAATTGTCTTCCACATTCATTCCATGATAAAAAAAATGTATCTAATGCAGTAAATGGAAGTTCTCTCTTAGTTAGTATTTTTTCCAACACATTTGAGTATATAATATAGTCAAACTTATAAATTATATTATAGGTACTTGTTTTCGTAAAAGAATTTATGATCTTTCTCAAAACACTCATTTCATTAAACTTTCATTATGAACAAAATTTAAAGAATACATTCTGATAGAACTCAATTTGTTATGTTTCACTGACGAATCTTTTCTCAATAATCAAACTTTTTCATTAGACAAAAAGAAAACTTCACTTTTCTAAATAATTATCTGTTGCTATATACTTATTGAATATCAATCAAATCATTTTTTTTTGAGTAAGAGAAGTCAACAAGAGTGTTCATTTTAAGATGTTATCATTTTTACTGTTGTTTCCGCTGTGGCAGTGTGAGAAACACAAGTGGTCAGAGCTGAATTATTAAGATAACTTGATCCGCCAGTATATGCTTAATTTTTTTCGCTGCATATCAATTATTAATATAATGGAATCGTACTTCTCCAAGTTTTATGGTATAGTAGATACGAATGATTTCTGTATCAACGTACGTACAGATGTAAAGTTATTTACTGAACTTCTAAGTTTTGGAAATCAAATACCAACGCACCGTCTCATAATTTGAGAATAAAAGAAAAAGCTTTTTAGATACAAAATGATCGGATAGTGAATTTTACGATAATGCTGTCACACAAATTGATTTTTAAATATAGAAGTTCTTGCCTGATTTTTTAGAAATATAACATATTCTCCTATACTTTTCTTGTACGCCTTCTGTTACTACTTAGCAGTATATTTCGTCACACACTTCCTATGAACTTGTCTTTACAAAATGGATTAAATAAACAACTGAAAGTAGTATGACATATATTATTGTACAATTGAAAAACTAAATGGGGTGTGGGTGTGGGTGTGGGTGGGGTATGGGTGTGCGTGTGGGTGTGGGTGGGG